GGGTGGTTCACCTTTGCCGGCCGTAAAAGCCGGCTCTTTTTCATGAATTTTTTTAAGAAAATATATACAGTAAAACGCGGTTTTTGCATAAACTTATATATTATTTGAACAGCAAAAAAAAAAATTTTTTTTAAATTTATATAAAAATGCATTTTATGCGGCGGTTGAATGTGGCATGTTTTTCGAGCTAACGGAAGTTATAATTACGAAAAAACAAATTAAGATATCGACTTGATTCTTTTTTCCTCTTGATCCTAATACTTTAACGCATGGCGTGAACTAAAATCATGGTTTTACAATAAAAATTCAATTTGTTATTAATAAAAATTTTTAGGGCAAAAAAATTTTTTTCAAATAGCTACCATTTTTACAAATTTCAGACAATTGACATTATTTTAGTCCACACCATGCGTTAAAATATTAGGATCAAGAGGAAAAAAGAACCAAGTCGATATCTTAATTCATTTTTTCGTAATTACTTCTGTCAGCTCAAAAAACATGCCACATTTAATCGCTACTTGGAGACATTAAAATATATTTTTTATTTAAAAAAATATTTGTTTTTGCTATTCAAATAATATATAAGTTTATGCAAAAACCCGCGTTTTACTGTATATAATAGATTTCCTTAAAAAAAATGATGAAAAAGGACCGGCTTTTACGGCCGGCAAGGGTGAAACCCCCCTTAAATAAATATATATATATATATATAAGCTAGGTGGCTTATCGCTATTTTATTTCTTCGCTTCTATTGTAAATGTTTTTACGAATTGTCGAGCGAAGGTGTGGCGATTGCATCGCACTACCCCAAATAATTAGTCTGCGTAAAACATTAAAAATTTAATGAGCAAAAGATAAAGTAAAGGATACGGACGGACGTTACACAGTAGGACTAGCTTTAGGTCGCAAGAAAAACAAAAAGAAAAAAAGGGTCAATATCGAGCCGAGAAAACAGAGACGACTTGGCGGTTAGAGATAACAGTCGGGAATTAACGTCGAAAATCACACGTTTAAAAGTACCTGCGGGCCAATTATAAACACGATGACAAACAAAGCAAGGTGAGAGGTAACAAGGCTAGTGACCGCGCGGATAACGAGAAGCCGAGACTTGTCTATCCGTCTTCGACGTGAATAGACATGCGCTCTCCGTATCACAAAAGTAATAAATCACAACTATAGTTTAAATTCAATCTAAGACTCAATCTCCCGTTCGATACAATCTATCCTTAATCCAGCCACGCACGATTATACGGTTTTTACTTATTGTTAGAATATACGTAATAAATCCGCGCCGCGCCAAAACGTAACATTATAAAAAGGGAAAGAAGAATATTAATTGTCATGTTTTTTAAATAAAAAATTTGTTTAATAAAAATCGATTACAATAATATTTATTATTATTATATATTTTTATTTAATTATATCATATTCTGGAAACTGATATTTGCATAAACTATCGAGATTTTCCATTATTTTCTATTTTACATTTCTTAATTTAATCACATAAATTTCTCAGGGATAAATATATTGGTACATAAAATTGCGAGTAATGAAAAATTTTGCACGTATTATTGTACTCAATAAACGCATCCTTATGAAAAAATATTATGAATTAGTGAAAAAACTATTGGAACATATAGAAAATAATATTGGATTTGAATTATTTTCTAATAATTTTCAACAGGTTTTTCGTAATTAAATTCAATAGTATTTTTTTATAAGGGCAATATCGTTATTTATAAATTAATTCCATCGATTTCATCTTAACGATTATTTACCATTTTATTCTACTTATTTATTATATTCTCTAATATTATTATCGCTATTATCTCTAATATGTTTTTACTATTTATACTTATTTAGAAATGTTAATAAAATAGCTCTAACATAAAAATGATGTTAATACTATTTCATGGACGTGCATTCAAAACCTTTGATATTTCAAGTTTTCATACATTCCTTATATTTATACTTCCCCCATTTTTTTATATTTAATGATTATTACAAGAATCTGTGCAGTGATTATTCATTTGTATCTTAGATTTTAAGACTTTATTAATCGATTAACTAGTTGATTAATCGATTGATTAATTAAAAACAGAATGTAAAATCATTTTACTTAGTTTAATATTTTAATGAAATTATAATCTAAAATTATAGGTGTTAGATATTGGGTCTAAATATTTATTGTAAAAATTTTGTCATTCACGTAAAATGTCTCAAGAATTAATTATAACGAAAAATTTATTGACTAATTCAAAGTTCATTCTTTTTTAACAAAAATGCCGGAAATATCAAATAAAATAATCAACTAAGAAAGTTAATAGAGAATTTTAATTATATTTAATTATAAAAATATATACAATTTGAAATTTAAAAAGTAGTAATCAATTTTAAACTTGTCGAAGCATCTGCCATAAAAATTTGGTTCATTTATATATAGATGCCTGCGATAATATATCTGCTTATGCTGCTATTCCGTCGAATAATAACGACAAAGACTACGTGCTTTATACTTTTAATTCATCAACTTCAATGATATAGTAAGCTGTGCATTTCACAACCGGAATATATTATTAACTTTAGTATTTCTTATTTCACAGGAATTCGGTAGGCTTCACTTCGTCAGTTTATTCTTCACGCACATCGCGCGCGCATCGTACTTCACTCGCACAAAGTATCGTAAGTATTGTGACTTCGAAAATTGAAGTTTTCATTCTTTCACACTGTCACGAAATTCATCAGTTGGACAGAGCTGGGAGGGCCTGCATATACTCGCGCGGGATCGCAGGAGCCGGAAGCAAGTAGCCGTCCGGATCCAAAACGTCCGGGGTACGCAGCAGCACCGGGCCTTGCGGCGGCCTCGGCAGCGTTCCTTGCCGGCTTCCTGCCGTCAATTCGTTTTGCGTCTTTTCCAACCTCTCCAGAATGTCGGGAAACTTGATTCGCTCCCGTGGCTCGATCTTCCAACAATCGTGCATTATTTGACACACGACGGCTGGACACTCGTCCGGCGGGATAAGTAGCGTCCCTTGAAGTATAAGTTTCACGACCTGGAACAATCGTTAAGAAAAACGTTCGAATCTCCAAGTAATATAGGTTGATAAAAAGTTGATAAAATTTTTAGCATATTCTTGCATGCCTGACCTCCTCGTTGCTGAATCCGTAGTACGGCTGTTTGCCGAATGAGTAAACTTCCCAGAGGACAACGCCGAAACTCCATACATCAGTTTCTAAAGTGAATCTGCCGTAAACGACGCTCTCCGGCGCCATCCATCGTACTGGCAACAAACGTGAGCCTCCAATCTGAAAATGTTAATTGTAATGTTTATATAATTTAAAAATTATATTAAGTTTAAAAATTTAAAAATAAATACGGAAAACTAATATAATTTAAAAATTATATTAGTTTTCCGCTAGTAACATTTCCGTGTCGAAGAAACGGAAAAGAAATAGCGAGCTACGTAAAAAATCTCTTCTCAAAATTTTCTGTGAAAAGAAAGTCCTTATATATTACAAATTTATTTTAACAAATTTTACCTTGTAATAATCGCAAGTGTAAATATCTCGCGACATGCCGAAATCAGCGATTTTCACTATTAAGCTTGATCCCACTAGACAGTTTCGACACGCCAGATCACGATGTACGAATCTTTGAGCCGACAGATACGTCATGCCGGCCGCAATTTGAATCGAGATCCAGTGTAGCGAGTCCTATAAACAATGACACGCCATCCGAGTTATTTTCTCGATAAAAAATTTCGTTGGAATTACGTGCAATAATGAAGATGCGGTGGTGCATTTCGGACTGGAGAAGCACAATATTAATGTCACGCCAATTCGCGTGCACAATGAATCATAATGCGAGATATGAGAATTGCTATGACAACTCACGATTGAAGGCGGAGCTTCCGCGTATATTCACCGAAACAATTATTATAGTTAAAATTAAAATAAAATTTAAAGTCAAGGCTCCAAATTATTCCAATATTAATAAAAGAAGTTAAAAAGGGCCAACGAGCCAAAGCTTGGGTGTTATATCGCTCCAATATGTATTTATTCATTTAACAAAATCATTATATAAATAACAAACCTTTCGACCCCGAACGAGTCATTCTCAATGTTACCATAAATTAATTAATGCCTAACATAAATTAAAACTATTACAATAACTTGATACGCTCACAATCCTCGTTCGGGGTCGAAAGGTTTGTTATTTATATAATGATTTTGTTAAATGAATAAATACATATTGGAGCGATATAATACCCAAGCTTTGGCTCGTTGGCCCTTTTTAACTTCTTTTATTAATATTGGAATTATTATAGTATTAACAATTATTATAGTAGTTATTGCATAATTTTCTCAATTATCAATTGTAAACACGGTACCTTCGTTAATGGCTGTAATCCAGGTTTCGATGATCTGAATTGCGGAGAGTTTGCCCGTAGTACCTCGGCGAGGTCACCGTACGGCATGTACTCGAACACCATCCACGGATTGTTCGTCGCGTCTCGAAGTACCATGCCCTTGAGGGACAAAATGTTCGCGTGGCTGAACGTGGACATGATGTCTACCTCGCGCATGAAATCCTGCTCGGTTTCGGGCGTAGCGGTGTCCTTTAGTACCTTTATAGCGACAATCTCCTTCGTGTCATCGTTGTGCCACTCGCCTGTAAAGTTTTAAGAAAATTTTACGAAAGATCAGATGGTGTGTCTAGTGGCTCATAAGTAAAGTTAAAAGTCGACGAAAAACGAGTAAAACATTCAGAGGAATTTTTATTTTATGGCGTCATAATTTTCTAATCTAAACCCAATAAAAGAATCGATGAATATTTTTCTTTTTATTTTATTTCGTTTCTTATGCAAAATTTTACCTTTGTAAACCTTTCCGAAGCAACCTTCGCCGAGGTCGTGCAGAAATATAAGGCTTTCACGTTCTATTATCGGAACCCCCGGAGACGTGCAGGTGAAATATTGAGGATTGGACGTGTACTTGTGCGCTAGTAACAGGCCCTTCTTCAGATTTATTGGAGTTCCCTAATTAGATATGACGAGCAACATGTTTATTAAGAATAATTAAAAATATTGAGATTAAAAAATATAATAAAAATATATTAAAAATATTATTAAAAATATCCCTGGGATGCACGATTTTAATAAAAATATGCAAAAATTGAAATAATAGAAAAAAGAATTTAAAATAAATTTACTGTAGTTGACGTATAGTTTAAAGGTACGATCTATAAATTATTTGAAGATAGTGAAATTTTGGATCTTCAGAATAACACGAAAAATATATGCGAAAAATATATGCAAATATGTAAATATATCATTGTTTATGCATCTCAGAATGACATTATTTCGATGAAAAAAATAACGACTTACATCTAGAGGACTTCTTTGCGACTTGATGCTATAGCTTCGTCTTCTCACGCCATACACGATGCTCAGTATGAGCATAATTATCGCGAATAAAGCTACTGCAGCTATCCCTACGATTTCAGGTACCTCGTATTTCAACCCCTCCACCTGTCGCATTTTGATTAACTTATTACACTTGTAAACAGATAGTAATGCGCTTATTGCAGATATATCAAAATTTACGTTAAACTTTAATTCTGGCGAATAAAGATACCTGCTCAGCTTCCGGAAGCACATTCGTGCTATTTGTGCTATTTGTGTTGTTACCGGAGGTTACTGTTGGAGGTATTATGTTGTGTATAGGCCGAGGCGTAAGGGGAACTATATAAAAAAAATTATTATCCTATTACATTACGTCGCATTAATTGTAATATCGGTTTTATCTTTATTTATAATTTTTGAAATCGACTTTGGGTTAATTTGCATTTTAATTGTCATCGCTAAGTTACTCTCGATTATTCAATCATCAAGTAAATCGCTGCGGAAAGCTATTTTTTATGTTTACTTTTATATTCAAAATTGCTTTTATGTTTATTATTGTGTGCGTTTAAAATTGCTCATCTTCTATAGCAGCTTTTGTGAAAGAATAATCGGAGTAATTTACCGATAGTTTACCGATTTTACGGAGTAGTTTACCGATTAGACGATTCGGGCATCTTAAATTTGACGTTGGCGATGACAAGTCATGAGGACACACGCATTTCGACGTGTTGTCCGCGAAGCTGCGACAGGCCGCTTCTGTTCCGCAAATCTGCGGATTATCTCTGCATGCTGTGATTTCGACGCTTTCGTAATTCGGGAACAATTGCACTGCATCTGACTGGTGTCGATTCGATGCACGCACTGATAAATCTGCAATAAAATTATTTATTTTCTACATCTTATAATCTTCATCAGTGGATTGATATTTTTAAAAATCTGAAGTTAATATGCTTTTTCTATAAAAAAACTTGATTTGCATTTATTTATTAGAAATTAAGTTTATTGTAACAGACTTTATTACTTTCGCTTTTTTTCGTGCAAGATGTATTAAAATTATAAAAATTAATTTAATTGCATTGAGGAGATAATCTTACATTACACGTTGCCCTCAACGAAGCAAAGAAATGTGTAATAAAGTCAATTATTAACCAAATCTATTTCGTACAATCTCTTTATAAGAAAACAAGTGTAACATTTCAATCCGTTTTTGAATAAAAATTCGATATTTGCATGATCTTCAGATGGCTCATATTGCGATAAAAAATGGAGGATTTGAAATGTAACTTTAAATGTTCCTAGTTCCCTACGAGAATTTAGCGGATATATAGAACATTGCCGTCGCCGCGGGTCGGTCGTGCCGGGCAGCAAAGAGATCGCCGTCGCAGATCCGCGGGACCGTCGCAAACGGTCTGTAAAGGGCGGCCAGGGAAGAGAAAAAGGGCCGCATATTTGGATTGGGCACAGAAAGATAGAGACAGTGAAGGCATTCATTTGGTACTCTTGGAGCTTGTAACGGGTCAAAGCGTTATCTCTGCGGTCAGCGCTCCCTGACAACGAGTCTCGCTATGTGTACCTATTATCGCCCCGTATTCCATGCTCGCGCCGAAGTATCTTCATTACGAGATTTCCCGCATTTACGAGATCGACGGTTTCTCGGCGTGATCGATCCGCCGTTACTCGACGCGCTGTTTACTCGGCGACTCGCTCGGCGCTACTTAGGTACTCGCCGCAAAGTAGTATAGAAAAAACGTGATAAAATATAACGAAATGTAACGAGTTTAACGCGGGACGATTCGTCGCCAGTCTTGCGACAGAGATACAAGGAGGCAGAGAGCGAGAGCTCTTCTCCTCATCGCGAAAGCGCGGACGCGACCGCGTTTTGACGCGATCGGCCATCGCGTTTGACCATCTCGAGAGGAATGGCCGTGTTGCCTTTCGGAGGATCGCGCGGACGCGTTTGCAATTTATCGAGGATTAATGTTCACTTCGATATACCATCTACCACAATCAATTATACCGCAGCAGACATCGTGATTTTCGCATTTACGCTACATTATTACTGACCTCTGCTCTTTGCCGTCATGTACGCGGCATAGAAACCACTATTGGCTCCGTCAGCTGACCCTCGATAGCACGAGTATCGCGTAGTAAACCTCTCGCGGAGAATTATTTTAGTTTACGCCTTACATCCAGTAATTATGATATAATGCAAAATCATCCGCAACTCATTAGTTTTTAAGAGCTCGACTCGATTAAATTGTTTACGAATTATTAATAACGGTTATTCATTTTTTCCGATGAGTAAGGAATTTATAATTAGTTATTCTTAAAGAAAATACTTAAAAAAAGTTATTATTAATTTTTTTTCCGTAATCATTATTAATCGACTTAATTTAACTTTGAATTAAAATTTGTAAGAAAAAAGATTTACATAAATTTGTACGAATGTGACAAGCTGTTTTCTGTTATTCAATATGCTAAAAAAGATGATTTATACAACTTTTATTTTATATTTATTTATAAGACTGTCTGAAATTCTTAAGCAATAATTGTTACGAATGTCCAAAACTGTTAAGAAATAACCGTTTCAAAATTGGAAAGAATCATCTATCATTAAAATACAGACGAATATTTTATACACAGATATGTTTAATTCGAATTCTTGACTATGTTAAGATACTTTGCTGCGGCCAGTAGCCAAGCTGACGGGTGCTTTTGTTTCAATAGACACGGCAACAGATGGTAATGACATTCGATCCTAATTGAACCTATATATTATCTTTTAACTGTTATGGTTAATGGTAAATTTGGAAACTTCAATACACCCACGTGTGGCGAGGCGCGTTTATTTGCAAATCCAAGCTTTAGACGTACAGACTACAATAGAGGCATTATATGAGCGGACGCCTCATCCTGCCTAAACGTACGGCTCATGAAGGGATCGAAAGAGATCGGCGAATATATCATGGGGTGCTCGTAAAACAATATATAGACACACATAAATATATACAGAATGAGATCTGTTATCAAGTGTACGATTGATTTCCTTATTTAACTCTGAGCTTTCTATAAGAAGAATATCGAGAGTGATTGAAAGTCTCCAATTTTCTATATTTAATCGTAATCTTATCTTTTCTCTAAATTTTCTGGAGTGACTTTCACTTTTTTGGAATGAATTTTCACTCTTTTGGAGTGAATCTCACTCCAAATGAGTGAAAATATACTGCCACCCGAATGGCCGAGTGGCAGTATTTTCACTCCAGAAAATTTAGAGAGTTGGTAATTAAGTCTATTAAATAATTGAGTTAAAAATTCCGTTAAAACGCGAACTAAGCTTTGAATTAAATAACGACTAGAGTTTTGACGTCTATTTACTTTTTTACTACGCGCTACCGACCTTTGCTGATAATATATGCGCTTACGATAATTTAATACCAAGCTTATAAAAATAAGGAATATTTATCTTTTATTATTTTTCCCGCGACATTACATATGTCATTCTAAAAATTTGTCGATTAGTATGACATTATCTTTAACATTATGAATGCGACAAATATGGGTATTATCTCGATTCGGTCCTATATCGGAAAGTCAAAGGTGCCCGATTATAAAGATAACAGCTGCAGAGGGCAAGGGTTGGTTTCTATTTTTTTCCCCAGAAGATTCGTTGAAGGAAATGCAGATAAATTTATAGTCGGCAGATAAATTTAGTAAATAGATAAATGTTTCCAACACTACTTTCTTTATGTATTTTTTAGTTTATATTACGTACTTTCTTATATAGTTCTTTCAATAATAATTTATATTTACATAAAACAAAATAAAAATATATATAGCTAAAATACGCTAAAAGCACAATAACATATATTTAAATTAGCACTGACATAAATTATTTGTAAATAAGTAACGTAAGAGACATTTATCGTAAACAAATTTTGAATTGCGTCATATTATTAAATGCTGACCATACAGTTTTCAAATATTGATTTTTACGAGGCTTAAAACAAATTTATATAAATAAATTTACATAAAAAGCATTGTTTTATTATGTAATTTTAAATTCTATAAATTTTCATCAGAGTACCGAGGATAAAAATAAATATTTCTAGGTCAACTATACACAGATATGATCACCGATTCGTCATTAAATCGTTTCATTTATTCCTGGAATATTGCTGTGTAGTCACTCTATTTCTTATCTAACGTAAACGATAACTAAAATATTTAGATATTAATAATGCATAATAATGTAACTGCAAGCGAAATTTGCGATAACATAAAAATGCAATATATAGAAATATTCCAATCATAATTTATCTAAAGTAGCACTTTAATTTCGCTTAATTAATGTAATTTTAACGGTTTCTTATTATTGTCAATTATTAAATGTAATTCGTAAGACGTGAAGTAATTATGTATATCGTTTTCACTGATTATGGTAGATTCTTAGTAATTTACGTAACAGACCTAATTGAATTTGATACATATTAGATGACTCTTGTTCCACGAATCTACGAGTATTAACCCAATGAGACGCGGAACAAGCTACCGTGTGTATTCAGATTTCTCAAAAGAAGCTTTCAGGATTTCTCCGGCGCAAGCAAACGCGTGTATCAAAACAAACTTTCAGATCTTCGTAAGCATTTAATTGCATACAAAAAGATGTAACAAAGGAAATTATTCATAAGAAATATATTTTCCGTTAAAAAACTTATACAATTTTCACATATTATCTACCTACATACAATCACATATCCATAATCCACTGCAATTTATATTTTGAATGTTAACGAATTTTAATGTCTTGATATTGAGAATGAAATTGGATTGAGATCGATATAAATATGATAAAGGAGAACGTATTTAAATTTAATGTAACAAAAACGATCAAGTCAATTATGTGCGAGATTTGTAGCGCATCTTACCTGTTCGCATTTCGGGAGAAAACTTGGAAAGATTTCTTTTCCTCGGCATTTTTTCATCCGTATATCGTATACGTCCGTGCAAATAATAAACAGCGAATGGACCAAACCACCCTCTCCGGTCGGAGAAAACAATTCTTCGCACTTGTTTATCGCACTTTGCACTTTCTCTCCTCTTTGCTACGAAGCGGCAATTACCAGCGACACGCTAATTGCAGCGGCATTACTTTGGCGAGAGAGATATTACCGCCCCTATAAACGTCACACTTGAATTTTGATATTCATGAACCGAGGTCTTATAAAAAATCCGAGAAATTGCCTTGGACGATTGTCGCGACGATGATAAATCACAACATCTCTCACATCTCTCTCGCTCTCTCTCTCTCTTTCTCTCCCTCTCTATCTCTTTTTCTTCTTCGCCTTACATCATCATACGCACCATCACATGATACGTAATAGGACATCGAATGACCTCCGCATTTTTTCTTTCTCCTTTTATTCCCGACCTAGATACGTGCCACCATTCTCAAATTCCTCGGATTTTCCATCGCCGGTTTTCTTCATAATTTTGTCTGAGATTGATCCCGAAGTGACGGCGGGTCATATTGTTGGAGAACGGAAGTCCTTCGAGCGCGCACTCCCCGCAGGACCGGCGACCGCGTGGGTGGATTCTAACGAAGCCTTAAGCCGGAAGCCAAAACCTCGGTGTGACACCCGGGGCTGACTCGGGCAGGGGAAACGGTAGCGTAGGTGGGAGATCGGGAGACGGAGTGAAATGTATTCCCTCTTCGATGAACGCTTAACCGAAACTGAAGAGACCGCCTTCGAGACTCCCTCGCTTTGCTACGCGCGCGCGGAGCACCAGCACGATCGCACGGAGCGCGCGCGTGTGCGCGCGTTCGTGCGTTACGCACACGGGCGCGCGACAGAGATTTACGCGAGATTTTAACTCGGTTCATCATCCGTCTTGTCGGCCCGACCTACACGCTATCTCGGAGAGCGACGGTGGTTCGCCGTGAGCCACCGAATTTCTTAAAAAAAAGGGTGTGTCTTCGCCCGTAACGGCTCGCACCTGACATGTTCATAACCGACCACCTACGCGTTCGCGAGAATATCATCGCGTGCGTAACGAACGGCGAAGAACAGAAGTTTATTGCCAAGAAGATACACAGGTTGCTCTCTATAGCGGCTGGGACCTCCTCCAACGTGCGAGACAAAATAGCCGAAAAAATGGCAGTTGCTTCGGAGCGATTCTCAAATGATTCGTCGAAATTGGCAGTTAATTGCTTTGAGACAGCGATTCTCCTTGAAAGATATAGAATCATTTTATCTGGAGATGGTAATTAAATCGTCTGTGCAGATGAATACGCGTTGACGCGCGCGTCGTATCAATACGCGTTCTCCGTACGTAACACGCTGACGCTATCGCGACCGCTTATCGTTTATTTATTCTCAATCGAAGGAAACATGCAGATATTCCATCTAATTTTTTTCTAAATTCGAAATGTGATGCATACATAGCAGTTGAAATAAGTCGAATTACAGTGAGAGAAAAAGAATGGTTGCAATTATCATAATTGAATCATAATATATGTATATTCATTTTTAATGTCAATTATATAGATATTTGTTATGAAACTATAAATATAAATATTACTAACATTGTAGTTGTAACAACTATAAATGGAACGCCTAATATATACTTATAATTATTTTATGCAATTATAATCAGTATAATCACAAATACCAAACATTTTTCTCTCAGCGTATCGTTTTATAGTCAGAGCTGTCTAAATCGGAATAATTCTTCGAGTTACAATTTGAAGATGAACAATTTGTTCAATCGGCAATCATCAAGTAGCCATTAAATCATTAAGTAGTTTAAAAGTTTATTTATTTTTGTTTTCAAGCCAGTATGTTCTCATTCCGTTTAAAATAATGACGAATTAAATCTTTGATGCCGACGACTTTTTGCAATCTAATAAGAGCAGTCTAATAATTAGTTTAATCAAAATGATATAGAAGATTGATGCATATTTTTTTTTCATATCAGTTTGTGTGCCATTTAACTTAGGCAAACAAAAAATGTTAATGTTCGCTATCGTGATCGAGCTTGATACATTATTGCCTAACGAACTACCGTCTCTCACTCCCTCCTACTCTTGGCGAACAAACCGACTTTTCAGCTTCCGATCATGATAAACAAGTCGACTCGAGAACATATATGAATGTTCCGTGCAGAAGTCATGTGTATACTTCTCGATGTGTGTCCATGTCCCGATGAATGCGTGTCTGTGATACTGCACATGCGTGCATCATTATATTACCGAAAACTTATCAGAAATCACTTGTCAATATGCTTGATATATTTAAAAAATCTGCATCTTTAACGTTCTGCTATATGTGTTACAATGACATTTAATATTTCTGCAGATAAACTAAAGCGAATCCCTCTGTATTCCATAATCGCAATATATTGTTGTGTCGATCAATGTGTTTCGAATAATAAAAAGGAGAAATTTAAAACTCTATCAGTTGCTACATTCTATTTTATAGAGTAACTGTCCCTATTAGTGTGCTTTTATATTTAAATAACTTAATAAAAATAAACCGGTACAAATAAATAGACAAAGTATTTTTTTTATTAAGTTAAATTATTAACTTAGAGTTTTAAATTTCTCCTTTTTGTAATTCGAAACACATTGATCAATACAGCAATATATTGCGATTATGGAATACAGAGGGATTCGCTTTTGTTAAGATTCGATTTTATTAAGTTAATACTTTAACTTAATAAAAAAATACTTTGTCTACTTATTTGTACCAGTTTATTTTTATGACTTATTTAAATATAAAAGCACACTAATAGGGACAGGCACACTAATATAGGAACAGTTACCCTATAATTCGTTCATTTTCTGAAGCGAAGCGCATAAGCGAGAGTTTATGCCTTCTAGCTCCCTCGTAAACGGCAATGGCTGATAAAAGACCATCTCTGTGAGTAGCGTAGCGAGATCAGGCCCGAAATAATTTCGAAGGATTGCGGACCATTCGGTATTAGCGTACGATTGATGCCCGCTCCCGATCTCGTCCCAGGATAATGCCGATTCATTGGATGGCGCGTCTACCAGCAAATCATTAATAAAACGGGTGATTTATAGTTCCTGAAGATCAAAACACGTACCACGTAGGCGAGAAATAAGTCGAAACACCAAAAGTGAAGCGGGAAATGCGAGACGAGGGGGGAGGAGAGGGTGATACGTTAAGAGTTTTCGAAGAGCCTCCGTCGGAATGGCATAAGTGTTGTATATTTACATTGGCGTTACAAGCTCACACCTGGACACAAGAATAGCGCCGCTTCTTCTTCTTCTTCTTCTTCCCCGAAGCATTTTCTCGTGCTATACGTCAGACCTGTTTGACAAAAGCTAACGCCCTATATTTTTGTCCTACTGCATTAACACACAGTTATTTCGGTAATTGTGCGGCTTTTCTATGGGTGACAAACGGATTTTAAAACAGCAGGGCGATACCCCCTTCATCAATAATGATGCAACCAGTGAGGCATTATTTATATGACAATAACATGGAATTTTGTTTGTAGCGATAAATATTTCAGTTCTCAAAAGATAAATTCTATAACTTGGACTATGTTTCTTATGACGTACTTATCACAAAATTTCTTATTTTCCAGATATCTTCCAAATTTTATTTTTCCAGATAAAAAGATAAATAATGATAACTGAAATAATAACCCGACAAGAAATGACTTAGCAAATTGATTTCGAATCAACATCGATACGATAATTTTAACATCAATTTAACATTGATTCGACGCCTAATTAAATGGTCATTTCATGCTGTTTCTAAATTAATTTTTTTTAAATAAGCTTCTTTGAAATTTTATACAAAACAAGATCTATATATAAATTTCGGAGCTCCATACGTGGTACATGAAGATTTTGTTTTTGTACTGGAGAGGGTGTCGTTTGAAATCATATACATATGCATATATCGAAAAGAGGGTAAAATGTTCGCGCAGGGTGGCTTACACCCGTCGAACGTTGCGGATTGTCGCTCCCGTTTGGCAACCGAGCGACATAAAAGTCGGCATGCATGCAGATGGTGGCCGTAAGAGGTTGGTCTAAAAAAATAAAGCGGCGCGGGCACGAAAGCCGGAGATGTTTGTGTTTCCACGCGAGATGGGTGATTCTTAAATGACGAGAAACAACTGGAACAACTTATATCTCGAAACAATACTATGTACGTGGAATCGGAAGCAAAGTGTCTTTTTATGGAAGGTTTTCCGAAAGATAAGGACGCGAAGGATACATCCAACCCAGCAAAAAATGATCGTTCTACTGGTTCTATATATTATACATATAGTAGACATCGCGTCGACGTCTAATATAGATCGATCATTTTTTCATTGAAATACGATACGCCGGTATCGTACATTCGATAACGAGTCTAAAAAACTCCGATAAAGGGCTGATATGGGTGATAAGGGCTGAAATGACTGATAAAGGGCTTAATATGATTAAAAATGTTTTATTACTTATAATGCTTACTATATGTAACTTATTTTTTATATAAAACTTATTTTTTATATAAAAGGTATAAAAATTAATTTATAATTGGTGTATTTTGCAAACTTACGTAAATTTTCATTGAATAAAAATTACGTTTCATATGATTTAACTGCCATCTTTTTTCATAATATTATATTTTTTAATAATTAATAATTTTATTAAGATACAATATTCTAAGTAATAGGTAAAGCTTCAATAATATAATGTATTGTAATGAAATCTATTTTGCTACCTTAGTCTCTATTGTAAATCAAGTGACACACGGTAGCGGCGCGACGCCAAGTATATAAAATCAATCTATTTCAACATTAAAAATAGTAAAAAGGAAAATTTGCGACATTTAGGATCAAAGTAGAATTAAATTGTATCAGTCTAATTAAACCTATCTTAAATTATAGTTCCTACTTATATTGCAGAATTAAAGATTTAAACAAAGATCAAAATTTCGACTCGGAATTACACGACACAAAAAATTTTAGATTAAAATTAATATTTGAAATAATTTGTTAATACTTTGTTCATTTTCATTTTCTATGAGATTTTTGTTCAATTTTGTCTGTTAGAGTTTTCTTTTCATTGTTAGTATAATGTTTCGCAACATGCGCCTGTTCGTTTGTACGTTTATCGAATTAAACAGGTCATATATCTATATTATGCAGATTTCTGTATGAGTTAGAGCAAAATGCATTTTATATTTTATATATAATTTTTAATAACAATAAAAATTTCTCAATAAATAAATGCAATTCATATCCATGCAGATAAAACCTAAAAGTCAAATGATAACTTTATAATTATAAATGACTTAACATATGTTATAGTCCGTAATTTTTTATACATAAAATTTTGATTAAATTGTATTTGGTAATAATAAAATTTTTCTGATCTAAAATTTATTAGCATTCTTTTAAAAATACTATTTTATTTAAAAAATTAAATTTTAAATAAAAAAATTCTTTTACGTAAAAAATTGACTAAATTTATTTATGTATATAATATATATATTTATTTATATGTGTATATGTAAATGAATAATATAATAAGTATGAAATATATAATACATATATATTGAATAAATAATTTTTTTTATATATATTATGTACATAATTGTTTATATATTTATATATTTATACGTATACATTTATATATATTATGAGGAAAAAAGGGAATACTCACCACATTTTTTACAAATAACAGTAATACATATATTATTATA